TCCTTTCAATAAGGTAAATCCACATATATCTGGTGAATTCATCTATGAAAGTTAGGAAATAACAGTTGCCTCCATTCGAACTTACTTCAAAAGGTACACACATGTTAGAGTGAATAAGGCTCCAAATTTTCTCTCGACCTCATGGTTAAGTCATGCTTGAATGCTTTCTTATCATGATTTGCTTTGCAACATTCCTCACACACATGACTTGGTTCATTCACCTGAGGTAAGCCATACACCATCATCTTCAGGTTGAGCATACCTAAAATTCTGAAGTTTAGATGTTCATACTTGCGATGCCATAGCCAATTCTTGTCTTCTTCTACAGTAAAAGAAAGACGTTTGTGATCAACCATGTTGATCTCTACTTTGAAGGTCTTATTGTCTGCAAATGATGCTTTCAGAATCAACCTTTCATCACCAAGATACACCTTCATCTGCTTCTTTTCTAGCTTCATGATGTACTAATTAGCAAATATTAATTTATGCTTATCAAGTTACTTGTCATCAAAGGTACATACAACACATCAATGATATTGGATTTTTTACTATCCTTTCTAACCACATATATGTCTCCTTTTCCTCCTGATGTAACATGCATGCCATCTACAAATTTTATCACTTTCTCAACTGATTCATCTAGCTTGGTGAACTTATTTTTATTACCAATCATGAGGTTACTGCATCGTTAATCCAAATACCACATGTTGAATTATTCATTGTTCGACTGGGTATTTTTCGTGAGTGGAATGTCATCAAAATCACTATCTCCAGCTTGTGCATACTTCACTTCATCTTTTGTTATAGCTTCCTTCTTTGTTCGATAGTCTCCGGTATAATGATCAAATCCTTGATAGTTGTAACATTACGCCTCTTTCATGTCAACTTTATTCCCCCAAATACTTTTTGAGCATGTTTTTCTTGGTTGAATTAGATTAATTTTTGAATTCTTGCTTAACGTCTCATTATTTGCAAGATTCTTTCTCTGTTTCGACTCCTCTTTTCCAAACTTCTTGATGAATCTTGCTTGCGGTGCCTATTCAGCCACATTCTCCCTTTCTAAGTTCCTCTACTTCAGCCTCATATCAGGAGCCTCTAATGAAGCTTGAAGTTCTTCTAACTTCATCTCAGCTAAGTTCTTGGACTCTTTAATAGACAGTACAATGCAATCAAAATTTGTAGTCAGAAATCTCAACACTTTCTCCATCTTCTACAAATCATTGATTGATTCTCCACACGCCTTCATCTAGTTCGTTAACAACACCGCATGTGAAAAGTATTTTGAGATTGATTCATCATTTGATTCATCTTGAATTGCTTTCTCAATGTATACAACTTCTCCCTCTTTGATTTTTCATCTCCGTCGTACAAGTTCTTCAACTTGTCCCATGCTACTTTGGTTATTTCCTCTTCAATAATCTTCTCAAACATGTTAGGATCCACACACTGGTGAATCAAGAACAGAGCTTTTCAATATTTCTTCCTTTGATCCTTCTGCGCAGCTTTCTGAACATCATCTACATCCGCTTCCAATCCAGGTACTCCATCATTCACGATTTCAGCGCCATCTTGATTTTCGAAGATGGCATTTATTTGTGCAATCCACCTCTCATAATTATCACATTTGAAAATCGGTAGACTCGACGAAAATTGTGTTGATGTTGTTGTTCTGTTTACCATTTTAGAATCTCACTAAATCGCAATTTGGGCTCATTGATACCAATTTGTTAGAACAATTAGGTTTTTTAAGAAAGATGAGGAAGAAGGAGGAGAAGAGAGAAAAAGAGAAGATAGAAAACTATAAAGGGAAAATATTATTATAGTGAAACTGTTAAACTGTAAAAAAAATTGTATCGAATTACAAAAGCATGCTTATTTATAGGAAATCAATCTCGAATTCCAAAACATACAAAATTACACTCCGACTTAATAGTTATATGTTGTATTCGATACAACTACTTTGACTAGGTTGCATAACCTTTTGGAACATAAACTACTTCATGAAACCATGAATTACATCTTCTAACATGTCTAGCACCAATTCCTCTAAATGAAGGAACATTCTCAATTTTGTTTAGTACCAGTTCCTTTAATTAAATAAAAATTAGTCCTTCTATTTCATTTGATCAATGTTCAAGAGTCAAACAATCTCACATACTACATAGAGTTGACATCATTTGATTGACCACATCTGATGATTAAAGTTGGTATCCATTAATATTTTCAAGATTCCATCTCAAGACTAATATTCAAATCTTTAAAACTGGATATAGTATAATTGTACGATAATACAAGTTATGTGTGAAAGACCTACAAAAAAGTATAAGTTATGTAGAAAATCCTAACACCCAATAGAATTCCATGTAATAGCTCTTATACCAAGGAATATAGCATGCAAATGTATAACTGTGTCAACTATATATTCAACTCAACACATAAAGTAAATACAATTTATTGAGGAAGTTATTTCCAATATTTTAAATGAAATAAATTCAAAAAGAAAGTTCAGAGAAACAAAGTGTTCAATATCCCATTGCTACAATGTTTCTAAGGTAAGAGGTGTCCAATTTCAACCATATTGCCCATAATCGTGGATTTGGCTTGACATTCGCAAAACATCTTTTAGCATTAGTGTTAGGGATATATCTTTATCTCTTTAAGAAGAACTAAGTGTCCCTAAGATCATAGAGAAAGACTTCATCAATAAAACGTAACATTCTAATATGAGAGCTATCATTTTAGTCACACATATTTGCCACAAAGAATTTTGTGAATATGAGATTTCATGGTTGAACAGTATATTGTTCTCTTACTCACCAAAGGCAAAAGTTAAGAATAATATGTCTGACCAACAAAAAAAATTGATCATTTCAACAAGTGCCAACACACACAAAAGTATAAAATATAGAAAGAAAAACTTTACGACCCTAAACCCTTCATTCCCCCTTTCTTTCTCTTGGATTACTAGGCCTTTACCATTATCCATATGACCATGTTTGACTTTCCGGCCTCTCTATTGCCCTTCAATTAAAATTTGTTGAACTCTTTAGAACAAACATAAATAATATTCCTTCCAAAAAGGATAAGTATATGAGCAAAACAACTCAATAGTTAGAGTGGAACAAAGAGTTAAAGACACTTAAGAAAATTACTAAGGAGATTAACACCATCACCCTTTTTCTCAAGGAAATTCTTTGGGTGCATCATTACAAGCTTCTTTAAACAAGGAAATAATAACTCGTTTCAACTCATTAGATTGATGGAGTCACGACCTTTAATGGTGGTAGAATAACTCTCCTAATACATAGAAAATTGAGGTTTTCCAAACTCAATGCTTATTTACCCCTTATAATAATAAAAATAAAATAAAACACAAACGGAAAAATCCACACTCAAATCCTTACATGCAACTTCAAAGACTCAAATAAAAGTTCAATTATTAGAATGAAAATGATAAAATAAACCAGTAACTATCCTAAATATCTCACAATCAAATTCACTAGAGGAATCCTAACTCCTATGACCTTAAACACACATTCATGCATATAAAAGGCCTCAATAAAAGACGCTTGAGAATGTTTCATCACGATTCATTCTCAATCTTAACACGGGTCAATATCATCTTCTTTTTCAATAGAGAAAACTTCAACATTGTGAATCACACTCACAATAGGCTATTGTTGATAACATGAGGTAAAGTCAAGATCAGAGTCAGGTGAGCTAGCCACAGAGATAGTCACGAGGGCTAGAGAAGGATCCTTAATGTGTCTTCGAAAAGACTAAACAAAAATTATAACACAATTACTTCCATGACTACTTACGTTTTCCTTTCTAGATTAATTGAAACTATTAGAATCACTACTCCAAATCAAAATCTCCCTAATGTAGTTGTTATATTTCATAATCTCATAAGCCTTTTTGAAATAGAGTAGCACATGTCAGCGAAAGCTTGGTTATTGCTGAAAGAGATAACGTACTAGACTCTAAAAATACAATAAATGTCTTTTAAAAAATATGTACCAAACATGACCCTAAAATCTAATATTAATATGAATTCATTTAATAATACCAAATAATTTTGAATTATTTATCGCATTAATATATATATATATATATATATATATATATATATATATATATATATATATATATATATATATATATATATATATATATATATATATATATATATATATATATATATATAATTAATAATTTTAAAAATATAATTAATCTATTGTGACATTTTATTATTTATTAATTTAATCAAAGTAATCACGATCTCCTTCTAATTTTAATTATATGTCACTTTAAACAAAAATTCTATCAAATTATAAATAATATAACAATGAGTTTTTTTATTAATTTTTCTATTATTAAATAATGGAAAAAAATTATTTTTTATATCATCACTAAAATCGTTACTAAAATATAATTATATAATAATTCAGAATTTCTTTTTCCTATACTTAATTAATTAATAATTTTAAAATGAATGAATTTATATCTTTCCTCTTAAATTCTCTCGTTCACTAATTTATCTCGATATCTCTTATATTTCTTTTTTTTAATTTAGAATTATTTATTATTATTTTTCTTTTAACTTATACTTATTTTGTGTGAAAGAGAAAGATGGAGAGGTTCCAAAGACGAAATTAACATCTATAATATAAAATTCAATAACATTTAGATGATGTGATAAAGAATCTTTCAGAGTTTAACCATAGATATTATGTTCGAATTCTTGACATGTAGTAGTATTAAATTCACTAAAAGAAAAAATTTATAATGTTAAAACTCACAAATGTGTAAAACATTGATGAAGATAAAAAGATGAGATATAAATGAATAAGAGAATGTGAAAAAAATGAAGAAGAAAGAAAAAGAGAAGAATGAGGGGGTAAAATTGACTTTTCCAAAATTTGATGTTTGGTCTAATTCAAATGTTTCAACTTTTCTAAAACACAAACATTGAATCATAAACTACAGAACACAAGTGTATGAATCTTTTGAAACACAAGAAATTTACACCTTTTGGAACACACACTTGTTTGGTCCTCAACTTTATCAAACATCTTTGTTCTTCATCAGTTAAGCTTCCTCATTACAAAATTTCACATTCATTCTATGAATCTCTTATTGATAATTCAATCCATATTACACATCTTTTTCAAATACATGGTCACCTAGTTGTTTCTGGATTGCAATATGATAGGTTTCTCATGACGAAACTGGTTAATGGGAGTTCGGATTTTGGACATGTTGGTTATGCACGTAAGTTGTTCGATGAATTTCCCGACCCGGATTTGTTTATGTGGAATGCTGTTATTAGAAGCTATTCGAGAAATGGTATGTGGAGAAATGTTGTTGAGATGTTTAGATGGATGAGATGGGTTGGATTGTGGCCGGATAGGTTTAGTTTTCCGTGTGTGGTTAAGGCTTGTACCGAGTTGTTGGATTTTGGTTTGAGTTGTTTGGTTCATGGGCAGATAGTTGTTTATGGATTTGGGTCGGATGTGTTTGTGCAGAATGGGCTTGTGGTGTTGTATGCTAAATGTGGTCAGATTGGTTTGGCGAGAGTGGTGTTTGATGGGTTATGTGATAGAACGATTGTTTCGTGGACTGCGATTATTTCTGGATATGCGCAGAATGGGGAAGCTTGGGAGGCGTTGAGAATGTTTAATCAAATGAGAAAGACTGATGTGAAACCGGATTGGATTTTGCTGGTGAGCGTTATGAGGGCTTATACTGATGTAGATGATTTGGAGCAAGGGAGATCTCTTCATGGTTGTGTCATCAAAACGGGCCTTGAAGATGAGTCGGATTTGGTTATCTCACTTACAGCTTTTTATGCGAAATGTGGTCATGTGACAGTTGCGAGATCTTTCTTTGATCAAATGAAGAATCCTAATAATGTGATGATGTGGAATGCGATGATATCTGGTTATGCGAAGAACGGTCATGCCGAGGAGGCAGTAGATCTATTTCGTGGCATGATTTCGAGAAATGTTCAACCAGATTCTATCACTGTTAGATCTGCAATTTTAGCTTGTGCACAAGTTGGTTCCCTCAAATTAGCGCAATGGATGGATGACTATGTCAGAAAGAGTAAATACGGAAGCGGAATTTTCGTTATCACAACCCTCATTGATATGTATGCAAAATGTGGTAGTGTAGAATCTGCCCGTGCGGTATTCGACCATGCTTCTGATAAAGACGTTGTTATGTGGAGTGCCATGATTATGGGATATGCATTGCATGGTCAAGGTTGGGAAGCCATTTATCTTTATCATGCAATGAAACGAGAAGGGGTGTGCCCAAATGATGTCACCTTTATTGGCCTTCTCACAGCATGCAGTCATTCTGGTCTTGTAAAACAAGGTTGGGAGCTATTCCATTGCATGAGAGACTTCGGAATTAAGCCTCGTAATGAACATTATTCTTGTGTGGTTGATCTCTTGGGACGTGCAGGTTATTTGAAACAGGCTTATGTTTTTATCATGAAAATGCCGATTGAACCGAGTGTAAGTGTATGGGGAGCACTTCTTAGCACGTGTAAGATTCATCGTAGCGTAACATTGGGAGAGTATGCGGCACAAAAGCTATTCTCGTTAGATTCGTATAATACAGGGCACTATGTACAACTATCTAATCTCTATGCTTCCACTCGCATGTGGGATCAAGTTGCATATGTTCGGGTTCTAATGAAGGAGAAAGGATTGACTAAATACCTTGGTTATAGTGTTATTGAAATCAATGGGAAGCTACATACATTTCATGCAGGGGACATGTCGCATCCACGGGCTAAGGAAATTTTCGATGAGCTTCAGAGGCTAGAAAGAAAGTTAAAGGATGTTGGTTTTGTTCCACATACAGAATCTGTTTTGCATGATCTGAATCATGAAGAAAAGGAGGAGAATCTGTGTATTCATAGCGAGAGAATCGCGGTTGCTTATGGGCTTATTAGTACTGCTCCTGGAACTACTCTTAGAATAACGAAGAATCTTCGAGCATGTGTAAACTGTCATTCAGCGATAAAGCTTATATCAAAGCTTGTTGAAAGGGAGATAGTTGTAAGGGATGCAAATCGGTTTCATCATTTTAAAGATGGTTTGTGTTCTTGTGGGGATTATTGGTGAAATGAACGGCTCAACCTCAAACTAGCTGTTAAGAATGGTTTGTGTAAGTGAGGAGACCAATGATTTTATTGAAATCCGAGGACTACCATGCTCGCATTTCAGGAGTTAGAAGGGAGCCAAGTGTTCTCATTATGCTCGCTACCCAAATGCCGAGATGACCTTCAACAATAGGGTTGAAGTGGTGGAGTATGAAGAGTACATGAGGTTAAAACCAACCAATATTACTCATGAAGGAACATTCCAAGTGGTCTTGAATTGCACCAGTGGAAGACATACAGTACTGGCCATGGTAAGCTTGATGTTTGTTTAATGTAATATATGTGGCTACTTAATTTGCCAGTTAGTCTATCTTAACATATGATCACTGGTGGGCTTGTATTAAATAAATTCCTACTTACGTATTGGACATTGACACGACACTTTTTTTTCCAGAGGTGTCAATGCTATCGATAATCGACATGGTTGAAAATCACTTCTTTACACTTATATTAGAAGAACTTTTGCTGAATGCAAAGATAAACATGAATGTAGAGAGGTTTTCTTTTCAATAATAAGTGATAACAAGCAAAAGCTAGCTGACACATTATAGGGTCTAGGTATTTTGAAATCTTTTTTTGCTCTTCATTTTTAATCTATTTTTTATATATATATATATTTTTTTGTAATGTTACCTATGAAGTATGAATTCCGACAGAGACACGACATGGACGCAGATACGTCGACACTACTAATATAAAAATATATGAAGCATATACGATTTTGATTTGGATTGATATTTTTCTACAAGCTCTAACTCTTTTTCTCGGAATCTTTTAACAAATGTGACCTCAGTCTAGTATACGATTCATTAAAAGTCTCTTCACATATATTGTATTTTATTTCAAAATTGTCACATAGCACCTACACTTTTTAATTTTGTAACATAATTTTTACATAGGTCTCATATTATCATCTTATTCTTTTTCTTGACTAGAATTAGAAGTACTCGTCTCTATACAATGTAAACATATTTTGTTAATTATAAAAGGATCTAATTAAAAAATAATCTTAAAAAGTAAAAAAAAAAAAAAATATATATATATATTTTAGTACTAGGGTGTATTAAAAATAGTTTTAAAATTAAAAAATTACTTCAAAAATAATATTAGTACTACTAGTTTGTCCTAGAGTTTGTACTATAGTATGTAAAAACAAAAACAAAATCTAGTACTTTATTAATATATCAAGAGTAAATTTCTAGTTAATATTACATAGTATTATTAAAGTATTGAACCAACATGCAATCATGTTTTTTTTAAGGTATAATACCTTTTTGACTTCGCATGTTAATTTGGAAATTTATTTTAATCTTTAATTTTAAAAAGGTTTATATTGATCTCTTAATTCTTCAAAAAAATATTATATTAATTATTTTTATCTAATTAACAACTATTTTCTAAATTTTGTATCACAAATTAGATTAAAATGATTAATAAAATATATTTTGAATAGTTAAAAAAACAATACATATTAAATTATGAGACCAAAATGACCCATATCGTTAACCTAAAAAATAAAAAATACACATACACACTTGTTACATCAAACAGAAACCGGTATATTGTACGGTAGTAAATAAAGTAAGTAGGCAAAGAGATATAAAAACACACTTTATGAGAATTTTTTTTTGGAATAATCAGATATTAAAAAAAAATTCCGCAAATAATCATGTTTCAGAGAAAATTACGCAAATAACCATGTTTCAGAAAACCCTACGAGGGAGGAGCCAACCCAGTTGGCGCATCCACTCCCCATTTTGCCCTAGGTGCCATCCCACTTGGCGTCTCCTCTCTCTTTTAGCCAAGTGAGATGGCGCATGCACTTTAAAAGTGAGAGGAGGCGCCATCTCACTTGACTCATATGGTAAAATGTTATTTTTATAAATAATTCATCAGTTTCTCCGTCATTCCTCACACTTTCTCGCATTGTTCTCTTATTTTTTACTTTGTTATTTGCGTCATGACATCGCCCATGATTTTTACCAGAGATGGTTACGTTATTTTCTCCGCCACAGAACCTCTGATGAAAATGAAATTCTTGCACATTCATTCCATGGAGCGTCTGAAGAGGGAGTTGATGCGATGGCTAGAGGGAGACATCGAGGAGGGGGAACAAATTAGAAGGATCCAACGAAGACGAACAACAACCTCACTTGCGACAGGAATACCTAATTTTTGGTTGGAGGAAGTCAAAATAGACAGCAACGTAATGTTGATGATGCATGGGTCAGATGAAATTGTTTTAACTATTGTAATTTCGTAGACGGTTTATCGTGTTTTATTTCTTGTTCGCGCAATGTTTATTGTAACAAATACTGTTAACGAAAACCCCTAATGTTTAGAACTTAATAAAGGAAAGATTTTGTGTGATACAATTTTTATGTGGTTGAGCCAGTAGCCTGATTCAGACAATTTTTGCGATTGTGTCCGACCTGACGACATAAACCACACTTTCTTTCCAGCTTGTCAATGGAGTCCATTTCGGTTGTGATGCACTTACTTTTGGGATGACCCTTTTTATTCCTTCGCATTTGGTTATTGTGCCATACTATTTCACCGTCGTATGCAGGCTAATAATCAGGTTTTTCTACCAAAGGGAAGCTGTTGTTGTATACGTTGAGCAAGGTTTCAGATTTGTAAATGGGAGACAAGTTGTAGCGCGTCTTGATGAGTATAGGCACACACGGCAATGACATGAGAGCAAGGCATACGAAAGGCTTGAAACTTGCCACAATCGCACCAACGAGAAGGTAGTATAACCCTATACTCTTGTCTTGGCAGGCCCTCGTTATGGTTGATTGTCTCTTTGACAATGAAGTTATGGTTGTGTCGGTCAAACTGTATAACCAGATGGGTGTTGGCTTTGGCACTTTCTGCCTTAATGTACTTCATGCAGCTTTCACTCCATAGTTGTCCAGATTGCAACACAACATTCCACATTTCACCTCTTTTGGCAAATAATGAAGCCATCCTAAAATATGTTGATTTAACCAAAGTAGTGACTGAGAGGTTTCGTATGCCTTTGAATACCCTATTCATCGATTTAATTAGATTTGTTGTCATGTGGCCCCATCTTTGTCCATTGTCATATGACTTAGTCCATTTTTCTACCGGAATATTATCGATCTACCTATCGGCGTCCAGATTTGACAAACGAATCTCGTTGCGATAATATTTGAAAGTAGGTTGTGTCAATGCATATCCCGCATTCATAACCGCTTTCCTAAGAGCTTTGTCTTTGATCTCCCTTGTGAAATTTTAGACGATATGTCTAATGCAATATACATGCGTAGAAGGAAGGTCATGCCAACCATTTACAAGATTGTTGTATGCACTTTCAATGGATGCATGTCTATCAAAGATCAAACAGAGATCTGGTTGAGGAGCCACGTATGTTCGGAGATTCTTGAGAAAAAAGCTCCAAGCACCACCAGTCTCCCCCTCGACTAGGGCAAAGGTTATTTGGAAAATGTTATTGTTGCCATCTTGTGAAACTGCCATCAGTAGTGTGCCTTTGTATTTCCCATACAACCAAGTCCCATCAATTTGTATAATTGGTTTGCATGACGCAAACCTTGTGATACAAGGTTGAAAAGCCCAAAACACTCGACTGAATATTCCATTTTCGTTGAGTTGACTACCATCCAGGGCGTACGCTGGCGCTGTTTCTAGAATGTAAATAGTACCCAGAGAATAAGTCTGGAGTGCATTCAGGTCGCGAGGAAGTTCTTGGTATGACTCCTCCCAGTTTCCATATACCTTTTCAATCGTCTTGGTCTTTGCTAACCACGCATTTCGGTAAGACGGAGTATAGATAAATACCATAGTGATGTGGGAGATTATGGTTTTCACCTTCAATGATTGATCGTTGTTGACGAGTGGTAGGATTTCTTGACAAATGAGATCATAATTTAGTTTTCGATGATCCTATGATTGAGTAGAACTGACACACGTGTGGGTAGACATAGAACTTATGACCTAACAATCACCTCTTAATCTGTATGATGCAGTGAGCTTGAACATACAATCTGGATGGACACACTTGATCTTGTACCTTTATGGATTTACACGGTCCACCTTAAAATCGACCGAGTTAAGCATGTGAAATTTTTTGATGGCTTGGATACATTCTTCTCTGTTACGAAATTTGTCTTTCTCTTTTAAGTTTTCATCTGACTACATATACAGATTGAAAAATAAATCAGAAGATGATTCATCTCCGCCCATGTTGAAGTTTGTCATGTGCGGAGGTGGTGTGTAGATCTCGTTTGAAGGAATACCAGGTATCTCATCGTCTTCGGAATCATCGTTGACCATGTCGTCAAACTCCAACTCGTCATCTTCTTCTTCTTTATCAACGACATCTACTTCTGCTTGTTCGGTCTTCAGAGGATCAACCACTTGTGACAGCTGAGGCTCTCGCAGCATAATGTACAACTCAATAGAGTCGTACCCAGAATACTCATGACTGAAAAATATATTCTGAAGGTCCTCGTCATCTTGAACCTCAACCTTATAAAATATTATTTGGTTGTTACAAAAAAAAAACGGATTTTGATAAAATATTTGTGTCACCGGACTTCGTCCAAGTTTGGCCTCCAATCATTTTTTAAAGTACAAGAAATTGGCTTTCCTGTTTAAACAAAATCAAATGTTCTCAGTGTCTCTAAACAAAAACCCAGAGGTGGGACAAATATATGTCTCACCGTTGAAATGTGCACTGATCACATATTGGGGTGCAGAGGCCATTGTGTATGACTATTTGAAGGTTTTAAGATTTGAAGGTTTGAAGTTTATGAGTTAATTACTGGAATTTTTGAATGTTCTAGTGTTTGAGTGATTAAGTGTATGAGTGTTTTGATAATTGTAAGATTAAATAGGTTGTACTGAATTTGAATAAACCAAAAGTAAGCACTCTTTAAGGCTGTCACCTAGCCTGCACCTACACTACAACCCATGCCA